TCGTTATACGGAGCTATCGCTGTTGTCAAAATACACGTCGCTTAAATAAGCTTTCATAATTTTACTACAAAATTAAAGTGAACTGTCTTAATTTCGGACCGCCTTACCTAATAAGCTTTGTTATACACAACAAAATTAAATTTTTTTGGATGATCTTAAAAAAAAAAAATTAGTTAAATTGGCCCTTAAAATTTCAACTCATGTTATAATGGCTTTTGTTAAGATATTTATCAGAATAATAAAATAAGACATTCAAGATTAATTTTACAATGCCACATCTTTAAAAAACAAAGTGAGAGCTGGATAGTTGGCAACACTTTTTATGACGAAAAAACTTAGTATCTGCAGGATATGTTGTCATGTGTTGGATATTAAAAATAATTATTTCAAAACAATTTAAAATATCGAAAAAAAATCCAGAGCAACGTCCTTAATGATCAAGTCCGCTTACNCAGCTGGCCGAATCCGTAGGGCTCGTACACCGATGCGTCGAGGTACGGGTACGAGGCGTACTCTATCGGCAAGCTCGTCCTCTCGCCGTGCCTGAAAAACTTGGAAACCAACGTCACCAGGTGCAATACGCGAGTCGATCCGAAACACACGCGCCCGCACTTACGGCCTGAACGAGGTCCAGTTTGAGCCCCCGTGGAACGGCGGAGCTCTCGTCCCTCTGGGCCACCGTGGCGCCGAACAAAAGACCAAGGCACACCACCGTCGTTACCATCGCGAGGCGCACTTTGCTAGGATACCTTCCCGAGTTGGCTCTCTATTTATACGCGATCGTCCGACGCGGCCAACGTAACGTGTAGGAAGAGATAAGAAAGTTAAAAAAAAAAAAAAAAAGAACAAAAAACAAAATATAACTATATTACATACTTTTTAAAATGTTAGAAATTAGCAACATAGACAGGCAGTTTATGTGCTCTTACTACGGAGAAGGGCTGTGCCGTAGCAAAGTCTATACATACCCCCTGCCATTCAATACAGCCAATCAACCTGTGGAGAAAATGTCTACGAGTATGCACACACACATACACACGCTCCAGCTTTCTGCGATGTATATTCGTTTCTATGTACCTCTTTCTATATAGACTGTTCCTTGCTCTTTCTCTCTCGTTCCCTCTCCTAGCCGCAAACTCACTCAACTTCTGATGCGCATGCGTGCTACTCACTCCTGTCCTCCTGTGCACCACTCCTCGCTCTCCACCCACCCGTTACCGTCAAAAACCGGATAGACATTTTTTATGAAGCTGAAACTAGCCTCACATCAAAGTAGCCTCACCAGGGACGAATCAGGTATAAGAGGCCCTGAGTATTAAAAAATGTTGTTTTTACTTATTCTATAAAAATCAATTCCAGAACATACCTCGCATATTTCTAGCCGTTTTAAGAATCAAAAGAGAACGTAAACCTTAAAAAACACACAGTTTTCTGTAAAAACAGATGTACAAGTATCAGAAATAAAAAATTTTAACTTTTTTAAGAACTACCTCGTGCCGTAATTGAAATAAATAAAATATGGTTCAAATTACTTACCCATAGTTCTAATGCGTTTTGTAAGCCTCTAGGCTTGAGAAAATAAGAGTTTTCCGTAAATACGCGTGTACGCGAATTCAAAAAGAAAATAATTGACTATTTCTTTTTTTTTAAACTTTTTATTTAACTTTTGTGAAACAATGAAAAAAATGAAATATATTCCTAATACGCCTAGTCATAATTTTTGTGCGTTTATCAAGTCTTAAAAGGTCGCCACGCTTAGAAAAAAAAGACTTTCCCGTAGATACGCAAGTATGGGTATCCGAAAAAAATAGGGAAAAAATTTCCAACTTTTCTTTGAACTTTTTGTGCCACAATTAGAGTGAATGAAATATGTACATACTGTAACCGCCCATAATTCTGATGCATTTTACAAGCCATGAAAGGCTAATAGGCTTGGAAAAACAAGAGTTTTTCGTAGATACACGTGTACGCGTATTCGAAAAAAATAAGGAAATGATTTTTGTCTTTTTTTAAACTTTTGTGCTACAACAAAAATGGATAAAATATTTTTCTATCATCCGAATCCACCCAAAATTCTAATGCGGTTTTCAAGCCATTAAAGGCTGACAGGCTTGAGAAAACAAAAGATTTACGTAGATACGCATATACGTGAGTCCGAAAAAAATAAGGAAAAAACTCTTAACTTTCTTTTAAACTCTTGTGCCACAATGAAAATAAATAAAATATTATTCTACTATACCTACTGACAATTTTATTGCTTTTTGCAAGCCGTAAAAGGCCGCCAGGCTTGGCAAACACGGAATTTTTCATCGATATGCATACACTTGTATTCAAAACAACTGGAAAAAAATTTTGTGATTTTTTTGAAACCTACTATGCCACTGTGAAATCGAATAAAAAACATTAACGTTAGTCCTACACACAATATCTATAAGTTTTTTAACCCGTAAAGGGTCACCGGGCTCGGAAAATACTGAGTTTTCCATCGATATGTGTAAATGAGTAAATGAAAAAATTGGAAAAAAAATTTGTAATTTTATTAAAACCTACTGTGCACCTTTCAAATTAAATAGATTACATTTTTATTATGTATTTTCGTAATCTCCATGCATTTTGTGAGCCATGGTAGGCCACAAGACATTGAAAAAGAAGAGTTTTTCATCGATACCCATACACGCGTATACGGAAAAAATCGGGAAAAAAATCATAACTTTTTTTGGAGCTTTTGTGCTACGATAAAAATAAACAGAATACATTTCTTTTACGTCCATTGATAATCTCTATTGGTTTTTGAAGTCGTGAAAGGCCGACAGGTATTGAAAATAAAGAGTTTTCTGCCGATATGCATGTACGCGCATACGGAAAAAAAATTATAACTTTTTTTTAGCTTTTGTGTTACGTTAAAAATTAACATAATAAGTTTTTGTTGCGTTTGCACACAACTCCTAGAGATTGTTTGAGCCGTAAAACGCGGCTAGGCTTGGGAAATAAAGCCTTTTTCGTGCATGTGTACATACGCAAAAATTATTTTTTCTAAAATAATATATTTCAAACAATTTTTTTGTGACTATAAAAAAAAATATTTTTAATGCTCCATTTTTAAACGCAAGGCGTGGAATCGAAAATTTTTCTGGTTATGCCCTACCGATCAACTAGTGCAACCCACAATGATGATGTAATTTTCTAGTATGAATTATTTTATTATACTGTTATATAACTTCATAGTACTCACTTTTGCGAATACATTCTAATACGCGCCAAAGGAAATGTACGTAAATTAATACACAACACCGTACTACAATAAAAAAATATATTACTTTATTAACATTTTGACTTCAACTCCTCATTAGTACCCCAAGCTGAAAAGTACCGTTCCCGATTCGATTGTAGCGTACGATAGCTAGCTTTCTACGTAACACTATCAGATAAGCATAATACTTGTAAGACTTAATTTTATATAAATAATTACATACCTTATTGAAAATTATTTGAATATTTTATGGAAATTGAAACATCCGAAGCCAACGTTTAACTTCGTTTAAGAAATGTTACTCAATTATTGGATGTAATGTAGATAAAAACTCTATAATGGTATTAAAATTACGTATTTACTGGTTTTTTACAATTCTCATGCTTTTTAAATTGATTGACTCATTTGTGTTCCTAAATTTATTTATAGTTTGGTGAGTCCTCAATTCATTTTGACTAAAGTTAGCTGACATACCTGTGTCATTTTTGTACGTAAAGAATAAGTTTGCTAAATTTTTCCTAGCATTGGAAATATCTGTTTCATTTAAGAAGTATTGATGACTACTGCATACAATATACATCCATGAACACACATGTATTGTCACACACGAACTGTTGTTTGAAGAGGTACGTCGTTGGGAATCTGTAACGTCTACTTACACCGGGAAATATTTCTTGCATCTCGAATACTTGAACCACTGAACGTGAATGTTAACAGACGCACATTTTCTATTAAATTCGTTGGTGGCACGCCATGCAAGGAGTCAAGCTAAATAAGTTTTTTTAACGAGGGAACAACAACTAACATAGTCCAATGCATATCTCCGTAGTTGGTTGGAATGAGCCATGCATGAAAGTCCCAAAGGTCTGTTGCCGAAGCCTATTTCTTCCACATATCGTTTAGCACACTTTCAGATAATAGTAATGTTATAAGAAACGTATAGAACGGCATGACTTCAAATGGCTCTATCAAATTTTCAATTGATAAAATAAAACGCATTTTTTATGCTGTCGTCTATCCACATCTTAGGTAAAAGAGTCGTACTTGAATACATAGTACTACCTTCAACCGTTAAATTTTTAAACGCAAAATCAGGAGGATAGGTCAATAAGTCAAAGAAAATGTTGGGAATTTTCTTCAGGGTTTGCTCAGTTTGAGATAGGGCTGTCACAAGACGAGACGATACGATGCTTTCCGAAATCTTGTCTTGTTTCTTAAAAAATATTAAAATCTGATATCGTATTGTTCTTGCATCGTTCTTAAAATCAATAATATCGTTCTTGTCTTGATTTGCAGTCAACTTTCTTGATAATTCTTGATCTTGATGTGTGTGTGTGTGTGTGTGTGTGTGTGTGTGTGTGTGTCGATCGTGTGAGAGAGAGGACGTGCATATCTGAAACGGAATGAATGATGTACAAGGGATAAATATTTAGATAAAATAATAATTAAATAAAATTGATTAACAATGGCATTTTGTATAATAAATTTATTTTAAATAAAGTTTTCAAAGTGTGTAGCACGCCGTTTTGACTAGTAAGTTTGAAATGGTGAAAAACAAAATAAATATAATGTGCATTATATTAATCCAAATATTTTGGACCTCACATTATTTTTTATATTCTTTTAATGAATTCATAGCAAAAACGAATAACAACCATAAAATTTTTAAGTAAAAAAGAATTATGTTTTTTATAGCGACTTTATATTATTATGAATAAGTTAAAGAGATTTAAAAAAAAAAGACTTCTACCTATATCATTACAGGGGTACATCACAAATTAGTAGCTTCACTAAGCTTTTCATCCAGGAATTAATGCAAAGCATCATACGAATTAAGTCGTAATTCATAGTATACCTTCTAAGTGTTACAATATTGCAGCTTTAGAAAACAGACGCTTAAATGGTACTGACGTGGGCATGATGGAAAGAAAATCTCGAGCCATTTTTGACAGCACTGGAAAAAAATGAGCATTCTCTTTCCACCATTCTAAAATAGGCTTGGCTCCTGGAGCCCTAACTGTACCTGTACAATTTTTCAGATCATTCTGCCATTCATCTGTCCACTCACTACTCCTACAGTACACTGATTGTAAATCCAAGTAATCGTTGTTTGATTTTTTTCTTGTTGTTTGTTTTTCTATGGAATTTTTTGAAAACTTGTCATAATAATTTTCCTTAAAGATTTCTTCATACTTTTTGATTGCTTCTTTCTTTAGTTTTTTACCCCAAGGCGTCTCGTCAAAACCTTGATACTTATGTCATGGGTCTAATATTAAGCAAACTATGTACATCCAATTACACTTGCAATAGTGTTTTGCAAGCTTATTTAAGCCACTCCGAAAGGCAGTTAAAAGTTTTTCATCTACTGAAAAGTCTTTATCATTGCTATTATTTTGAATTTTATCCGACAAAGAAAATAAAACTGACTTAATTTTATCTAGTAGTAGATTAAAAACTACTACAGCAGGACGAATTGATGGTTCCTTATCAACAGATACAATTGCTGTAGCCTGCTTGACATATTTTAAAAAGTTCAGCAGTTTGTTTATTAACTCCCAATTGGAGGCACTTAATATATAATTTTTAAGTTCAGGAGTGTTTAGGTAAAGCGTGTTTAGAGCAGGTCTTAAATGTACAGTAGTTTATAACATCTTGCAAGTACTATTACACCTTGTACGTGCATCCATAATGGATTTGCTAAATTGTATATTCAGGGCTGTGCATAACTTTCCTAATTTCATTGTCAAAATTTCAAATCATCGAATTTTTTAAATCATTTTACGCGTGTTATCAATAAGGTTATCTTGTCCTTAAAGGGTTTTTATCTTTTTCGCCATCATCATCGTCGTCGTCGTCGTCGTCGTCGTCGTCATCATCATCATCGCTATATTGGTGACCACGTAAATTTTAACATGAAAACTTTCTTCATTGCACATAGCATCTCCGTATTCTCTACGCCTCGGGTACAGCAACTACAGCTTTTCCCCTCTTATCATCCGATTTTTCAACCACCACAGGTCTCGGACCTCTCGGTCACGGCATCAGCAAACTAGCTTCGCTTCTACGACTTGATCACAGGGTCCTTAAGGGTTTTTTTTAATCTTTATCGCCATCATCATCATCGTCGTCATCGTCATCATCATCATCATCATCATCATCGTCATCGTCATCGTCATCGTCATCGTCATCGTCATCATCATCGTCATCATCATCATCATCATCATCATCGTCATCGTCATCGTCATCGTTATCGTCATCGTCATCATCATCGTCATCATCATCATCATCATCATCATCATCATCATCACCATCACCATGGTCATAATCATCTGTTTCTTCAATGTCTTCTGCATCATTAATGGAATACTTCTGACTACTTGATTTTGTATTTATCAATTTCAATACATCTTGTACACCTAAATAAATAAATTTAATAATTTAAATTTGAATTTTAAAAAATTATAAAATCTAATAAAAATAACTTAAGTTTAGTATGTGCGCGAAACACCAAAAATCTTGATCTTAAGATGGAAAAGGTTATCCAGATTTGAAAAATAATTCATCTGATTCTCGCATGAATACATTATTAACTGACGCATTATCAAGAGTTACCCCTTGAACTTCATTTTGAATTCCAAAGTCTTAAAGCATATCGGGAAACATTTTAGCCATATCCGAACCTTTATATTTTCCTAGAGATAGAAGAAGATCTAAACTAAGAGACTGCAAGGCCCATTCATCATTAATAAAATGCACCGTGGCACCATAGTACGATTTAAAATTTTTTGAAGACGAAGCACTCAATAGATGCCTTGTCATGCTGGGAAAATTTTTTGACTA